TGACAGGCTTAGAATTTCTATTCGGCATCCCTTGCCCAAAGCAGATGAGAATGACCCCTTTTGTCCTGTCTGTTATTATCAAGCGGCTTTGGAAAATGAGCACTGTTGAATGAAAAGAAAGCGGCAGATGACATTTTGTTTTCTGCATAAACTAGTGTATAGGTTCTTTGTTTTTCAGAAATGGTTTTCAAGAAGATGTGCTAATATTGCTGCTATTTTAGCAGTAGTTCTTTTGTTCAAGCCTGAACGTAGATTTGTGGGTGTTAGGGTGTCCATTTATGTTAGTGAGCTCTTTCCTTGTAAAATCCCATGGATACCTAAAACATGAATATGTATATTCTGAGTAAGTCTACTGTAACTTCCTTTCCTGGAGCATAATCTCATTTCTATAAAAAAGAAATAGTCACATTTTCAAAATAATAAGTTCTGAAAATACTTGTTTGTGCTGAGATGACACTTACTCTGAATAATGACACACACTTACTCTGAATAATGGCACACACTTACTCTGAATAATGACACTCACTTTTAACCCAGTAGTGAGCATGGGTTAGGGACTCCTGTCTGTCTTAAGCATAATAGACATGCCCTTTGATTTAAGCTACGTGTCACCAAGCATTAGGTCTGGAGATAAAATATTTCAAAATACAGCTATCACACAAACAGGTCTTAGTCATCCTCGTTGCTGTTTTCTACAGCTGACCAGAAAGCTTTTCTGTGTTATTGATGTGCCAGTGAGACATGGAGGCTGCCAAACCAGTGACCTACGGTTTGCATCGGTAAACAATAGCATGAAAATTGGACTCACCAAATGGGTTAGGTTTGAAAGTGAGTTTGTTCTGCATACAGGGTTTTGTTGACATTTTCATGTGTGATTTGAGAATCATTTGGGAGCCAGGAGTCTCAGCTGGATTTTCAAGTGTGCCAGCAGCCTGACTAGATGGATTCATATTCCCTAATTTTTAATCATCCAGTTTTGGTCCATGTCAGTTAGGAGACTAGTCTTTATCTACGGTCACTTATGAGGCATTTTGGCTCCTTTTGGACTCAGAGCAGAAGACTGTAGTGTTATTTGAGACATTCTCACAGTGCTTCGTGTATAGAAGTCAGTGAGCTCAACTGGGTAAATAGGTTCAGCTGAACAAAGGATACCTCATCTTTAGGGCTTGTTTAGTTTTTGTTAAGATTTTTAAAATTCACTAGAGTGGTGTTCCCAGTTTCACTTGTTTCAGCAACAAAGAAGTAGCAATCATAGAATCATAGAATGGTTTGGGTTGGAAGGGACCTTAAAGATCATCTAGTTCCACCCACCCTGCCATGGGCAGGGACACCCTCCACTAGACCAGGTTGCTCAGTGACACCAGCTGGATGCAGGTAGTTTCAAAATGTCAAATGCCAGGATTGTGAGTGTGATGTATGAAGAAGATACTAATGAAGCTCCCTTCTCCTCAGGGGAGACCTTATCGCTCTCTACAGCTACCTAAAAGGAGGTTGTAGCCAGGTGGGTGTTGATCTCTTCTCCCCAGTTATAAGTGATAGGACAAGAGGAAATGGCCTCAAGTGGTGCCAGGGGAGGTTTAGGTTGGATGATAGGAAAAATTTCTTCACTGAAATGGTTTTCGATCACCGGAACAAGCTGCCCAGGGAAATCGTTGAGTCACCATCCCTGGAGGTATTTAAAAGATGTGTAGATGTGGTACTTAGGAACATGGTTTAGTGGCTGGACTTGGCAGTGTTAGGGTAAGAGTTGGACTTGATGATCTTAAAGGTCTTTTCCAACCAAAATGATTCTATGATTCTAAGCGCAGAGCTTCAGTACAATAATACTTTGGGAGAGTAAATGTTCCTTTATTTCTGTCTTCCCAAAAGACTCTACATCGCTGCACCAGTTTACTGCACTGTGGCACATCATGATCATTGAATTAACTATCCTTGCAGCTTCTCCTCTGCATGCCTCCCAGCATATCTTGATCATATCTTCACGATTAGCTCAGTTCCAGCTAAGTCCCTGGTCCCCTGCTTATGGGGAGGTAGCAGGAGTATATAGAGGGGGGATGAGTGAGCAGGCAGACACGCATTCAGGCCCGCTGAACCTGATTGTGAAGCCAGAACCTCAGACAGGCTCCAGAACCTCTTACACACCCTTTCTCATCCATTAACCTCTGCTCAGCAGTGCACAGCCTGGACTGGCACAGCTAAATACAGAACCGTGGGAATCCTGTTTCCCAGTTAGAGACTGACCTCAACAGAGTCCCTGTATGGATATGCTGGAATTACTTGGCAGTCCAGCTGTGGCTTCCTTAGAAGGGTAATGAGGGGAAACAACTTGAAGGCAGAAGAACTTCTTCATGTTCCTGCTGGTAGCAGTCAAGCCCTGTGGGTTTGGCCTCATGCCCTGTAACTGCCAATGGAGTCCCCTGGCAAAACAGAAAGCCCCAGTGTAAGTGGGCTGGTTTGATGGCTGGACTAAACAGAGGGTTATTACCAGGACCTTTCAGTTCAATTAATTTTTTTTACATAATGTTCTTTATGACACTCTTTATGGTTCTCTTCCCTTTCTTTGGTATTTCCCACCATTCTGGTACTCTTTGCTGCAAATACTTTAGCTAACTGTTAGTAAACTCCTTGTTAACTTCAGTGAGGTGGAGACTTGTTGCTTGGAAATATATTGGCTCATGTATAAGCACCTGTGGCATAACAGACCCTTAGGCATCAGGAGAGCTGTTGTAACTCTGTGAATGGACAAGGGATCTTGTCAAAGATGTTTTGGCATTCTGTAGGTTGGCAAATCCTCATCTATATTGTCATTCACTTCTCAAAGAATACTTTGCAAGGCATGAATTATGCAAATAAAGGTCGCTCCTTCCCCAGTAGATTGGATTTATTTGTATCTACTAATTCTATTTTTAATCAGTTTGTCAGCTCTGAAAGACTCAGTCTTACTGTTCTTCTGTTTTTGTTGTTAAATATAATGGCTCTAATTTTTTACCTTTTTCTTTAATACTTAGGTTCACTTGAGTAGTAGATTTCTTACCACTGTTAATAAAGCAATGAATTTGAGCTTGTGTAGAAATTCTGGGTGAAAGCTGTCTGGCTTGTACATATTCTAACTTAAGATTTTGTCAGGTTTTGGAAGAGGGCTCTTTTACAAATGCTTCAGTTTGAGGCAGTTCCTTAGAGCTGACCTCTCAAAAGGAGCTCAAATTCAGAAGGCATATCCATGCTGAATATAAATGCAAAAAAAAAAAAAAAAAAAAACCAAAAACAAAAAACCCAAGCTGTGGAAGTTTCTCCTGCTTTAAGAAGAAGGTTTGTATCATAAATAGTTCAGTAAATTAGTTGCTGACAACCGCAGATACCTTTAGTATATTCAATGGGGTGTATTTCCAAATAAGGACGTATTTAAGTTCTGCATGGGGCTTGCTCTTAGGCCTGTCAAGTGCAGCATTTCCCACTCCTAAGAAACAAAGTGGTGGTAGCAAGGTAATACCATCCACGAGTTCTATTTTGGTGATAATAAACTTGTGAAAATAACTGGAAGTAACTGGACTCCACTCTTTTGTGTGCAGCTGTA